ACCTCCCACGTCCCCTGGTGCTGCTGTGAGTTAAAAAGGGAGTAAAGGAAGCTGTCTTTACTTCACAGAAATACAAGTGAAGGTTCTGGGAGGAGGGCAGCCACACCCACTGGTTCCAGCTTGTCCTGGTGCACCTGTCGCATGTGTGCTACGTCTCAACCTTCTCACCTTTCCTCTAACTAAGCCCAGAAGGGCACAGCGTTCCACAGGCTCAGGGGTACACCACAAGCACAGGGCTGGGTGTCAAGCCTATCCAACCTCACTGCTGGAATTTGCTTGGGTAAAACGCCGTTTCCACTTTCCCACAAGTTCTCAGGCCCAGCCTCACATTTGTCCACCCCCAGGCAGAGCAGCTCTATTGTGTGAATGAGGGAGCTTCAGCACAGATGGGGTGCAGACAGAGGCCCTTGGAATCTGAACCACAGGGGAAGCTTGCCTGCTCCTACCTCCCTGCATCTTCTAGAAACACGTGGAGCATCACCCAGAGTCAGACTCCACCCACCATAGAGCCTGCTGCCCTATAAATGCCTCCCTTGGCCAGCCTCATCCAGGATATGTCAACAGACAAGGGAAGAAAGTGTCTTGCTGGCATTCTGAGAAAGCCAGGGCTGGGAGCCAAAACACACTGACGAGGGGCATGCACTGTCTCCTGAAGAATCTGTCACAAAAGAAAATTCTATAGCCCTCAAGCTGGAAGAGGCCCTGGAGATAACTTTGTCATCACAGGGTGGCACCCTCTAGTTGCCCCAGGCAGATGAGGTCCTAGAGGAACCCGTCCCTAACACTGAACTTCAGGAGGTCCTTCCTGTATCTAACTCAGCCTTCAGTGAAAGGGCAGAGCAGTTACAAGGCAAGGATGACTGAGAACTCCAAGACCTGAGGCCAAGACTCAGCACTGTGTCCAAGGTGTGGAGCCTGTAGAGGACGAACCCGACTGAAGGTTGTCCTCCCCCTCACCTCAGCCTGACCGCAAACTTGTTTATGTCACCCGGATGACATCATGCTAACTTGACCAGTTAGAGCAGCTGTGAGGGGAAACAGACCCCAAAGGTCCCTCTGCTGAGTCCTGTGAGGGGAAGGGGGTGCCTTCGTGTGGATGCTGTTGGTGAGTAGAGAGCCAGTGGAGCATGACGCTTATGGTGCAGGCTCTGAAACAGCCAAGCTGCCTGAGTTCAAATCCTGCCTCAACCGTGTACTGGCTGTGTGACCACAGACATGATACTGTGCCTCTCTCTTCCTCAGTTAACTTTTCTATAAAATGGGCATGATGGCAGTGCCTAGTCAATTGGGTTGCGGTGAGGCTTCCACAAGGGAATACACGGACAGCCCTTGGGCTGTGCCTGGCACTTTCTGTGCACTGCTGTTGTGAAGGTGACCAGTTTGCCTGGGACATCCTGGCTATGCTTGTGGTCCCAGCATTGCTATGAATATTCCCCCTTTTATTCCCGGCAGTGCCCGAGGTTGGATGATGTATTATAAGAGTGACTCCCTTTGGCTTCTCCATGTCCACCTGGTTATCTCCCTGCTTCATGCTGCCTCTGAGTACTGGGGAGCCAGGTTCCCAAAATACAGGTCCCCAAGTAGGCTATGCCCATGCCACTGACGTGTCTGCCGCACAAACTCAGCTTTTCCTCTTTTCCTTTTTCTCTGCACTTTGTCTCCCCTCCTTCCTCGATCCTTACAGCCATCCTCTCCTTTCCTGCTTCCCTGCCCGTGCCTTAGGATTCTGGTGGTGCACACAGGTACCGTCTGGCTTTATTGGGACTTCCCCCTGACCCTGGACTTGGATAGAACCCTTTACAGCTCTAACTAAACTGTGCCTTATCAAATTTCTCTCACAGGAAAGAAAGCAATTTGAAAAGGCAAAGAAATGACCAACAGATGGATGAATGGAACAATGTGCTGGTTTTTGTTGTTGTTGCTGTTTCTTTGTGTGTGTGTGTGTGTGTGTGTGTGTGTTGTGTTGGTAGGAACAAAAAGTGTACCAGTTTGAAATGGACCATCGACCTGCCTATAAAATTGTTCCTTGGGCTTAAAAAAAATTTTTTTTTTCATTATTATTATTTTGAGATGGAGTCTTGCTCTTGTCACTCAGGCAGGAGTGCAATGGCACGATCTCAGCTCACTGCAACTTCCGCCTCCCGGGTTCAACCAATTCTCCTGCCTTGGTCTCCTGAATAGCTGGGCTTACAGGTGCGGGCCACCATGCCCAGCTGATTTTTGTATTTTTAGTAGAAATGAAGTTTCACCATGTTGGCCAGGCTGGTCTTGAACTTCTGACCTCTGGTGATCCACCCAGCCTCGGCCTCCAAAGTGCTGGGATTACAGGTGTGAGCCCGGCCCCCAGGGCTATTTTATAGGAAACCCTGGAGGCTCCTCTGCAAGACAGCAGCCTCCCTGTGTGTCAGTGGAGAAAGCAAAACCTCTGGAGCCCAAGGACCTGGGCCCATTTCTGCCACTCACTAACAGCTGACAAAGGACCATGATTTCGCAAAGACTCAGTTTCTCCATCCGTAATATAGGGCAGACTTGTCTCTAGAACACCGTGATTCTATGACATTGTAAAAGGCCCTGGACCTGCTCTTAGGATCCTGAATTCTGCAATATTCTGCAATATTGGCAATTGCATCTTTTAGCTCTTCTCTAGGGGAACATACGAGGGAACCAGGGCCTTGGAAAATATAAAATCTGAACTAATTCTCACCTAAAGTATCATGGCAAGTGCCTGAGTCCTCTGTGCATTGCAACAGAATAGACATTATTTTGTGTGGAAGAAAAGCAAGAGTGATGTGAACTCAGTGGGTGATTAGCCAGTCCCTGAGGAATCCCTCACTAGCTCTCCTCCAGCCTAACTTCTCTCAGCTGCATTGCCAGTACCCAGGCAGCTTGCAGGTTCAACCCTCCTTCCCCACAACAGGTTCAGCAAATTATTGCGACAAGGAGCCCCAAGGCAGAATGGATGGCTACTGTGGCCACTGCCGCAGTGCTGAGGCCTGCCTTCTGCAGGCTCACCACAGGCTGACACATCTCCAATCACTCCCCACACCAGGGATTCCATCTCCATCAGTGGCATTACCAACCACTCCAACTCTGGAACCCAAATCGCCATCATCTTGGTCTCTTCTGCTCTAGTCCTTGACATTTATTCAGTTACCAGATTGCATCTACTCCATTGTTCTCTGGGTTAAAATCCCCATCCCACCACTTATTTGCTGTATGACCTTGGATAAACCACTTAACCTCTCTCTCAGTTTCCTCCTCTACAATATGGAACGATCATAGCAATCTCCTCATGAGGCTGTCAGGAGGAATAAATGAGATTAAACATGAAAATCTCCTACCACAGGCCCCGGCACATAGCAGATGACTTTTCCCCCACCCCCAAGACTTTTAGCCCTTTCCTGTCCATTCCCACCAGCCCTGTTCAACCCCTCATGGTCACTGCAATGGGCTTCTTCCCAGGTTCTGTTCCCAAAGCTTCCTCCACTGCAGGACATCCCATACCCAGCTGCAGATGACATGTTCTTCTGAATCCAGCATCAAGAACACCACTTCCCTTCTTAGAAACCATCAAAACATCCCTAGGCTTAATAACGAGGCGAACACTCCAAACCTCTGCCATCTCTCCCAGGCAGCACTCCTCACCGAATTGTCCACCACATTCTTCCTCGCTCCTCAGGTACATCCCACTTCACGGCTTTGCTCAGCCGTCCTTCCCCAAGATGCCCAGACCCAGACTCCTGTTCAAGGCCCGGCCTCAGTGCCACCTCCAGGACGCCCTCTGCGAGTCACTCCTTCCAGAAGTAACCTCCTTCCTCCAGACTCCCTCTACATGCTTTACAGCATAGAACCGAGAGGTGACAGGACCTCGGAAGCCATACATGAAGCCCCTCACTTATCACTCAAAAACTACGCATAAAGTTGCTCTTATGGACAAATACTATCCCATAAGGTTGTGCATGTTAATTTCACCTGAAAAGGGGCATGAACCCTGGACCCTCCAACAAAAATGCTGATTCCACGTGGAGCAAGCTGCCCTGACTTCATATCCCTCTGCCCACATCCTTGATAAAAAGACTCTTCGGTACATGCTGTTTTCTTCCAGAGACAAGGAACTCACCACCTCACGAGTTAGGTTCTTCCTCCTGACCTCTGACCACCCTGGGGACTCCCACGGACTGACCCTTTCTGTCCTCTAAAGTCACACGGAAGGAATTCCTTTGAGACTCCTGGTGTCCTCCACAGAGCCAAACAGGGCAAGTTCCCAAGCACACCTTGTAAGCAGATGAATGAACTCAGAGGGCTTTCCCACGTGGCAGGGCACATTCGCTGCATCCAGGGCATGCATGGGTGCACAGACACACACACACACACACACACACACACACACACACACACACACGGGCAGAGTCAGCACAGGGCCGCTGAGCCACACAGCCAGACCAGCACACGCTGGGGCCAGGGCGGAAGCCAAGCCTCAGCAGCCGCCCACTTCCTGACCGCCTTCCTTTGCTCTGGGAGGTTCTCTCTCTCTGTGTCTGTCTGTCTGACTCGGTTGTTTCTACACATGGCAAGAGTTGTGGGTGCTGCCTGCGTGGCCAGGGCTCCTAGTAGCATTGACCTGCAAGGTAGGAGTTTTGGATCTTAGGCCTGAGACCTTGGTCAAGTCACTCTACCCTTCTGAGCCTCAGTTTCCTCATCTGTGAAATGAAGAGGCTGGAGGGTTCCTAAGGTCCCTTGCTGACCAAAACCCTAGGGCTTCTCGGCTCCCCTCCAGTCCCGTTACCGAGTGACAGCGAGGGGAGCAAGGGCCAGGCCAGGCCTGGGGGTGGCAGGGGAGCCAGCTGTTCCCACCCAAGGGCACACAGCCTCCAGCCAGGCCCTCTGCGAACTCCATGCGCTGCACACACGCGCTCACACTTCGCAGCAGCCGGAGAAGCAGGCAGGAAGCGCCGCGCTCCGGGTGCCCACCCTCAAGCCTCAACCTTCCTCCACGTTACCTTGAGCGTGTACGCTTCCCGCGGACCTGCCCGCGCGCCCGCTCGGCTCACAGCTGTCAAGCAGCCGCCTGCCCCGCCGCCCGCTCCGCCCGACTCTTTCCGCCCGGATCCGCGCGGCTGGACCAGCCCCCCAGCGGAGCTCAAGGGGAAGCGGCGCCCCCTGGGCGCCCTCCTGGACTTGCGCGCGCCGAGCGGCGGGTCCGGGCCGGCAGGCGCGACCTGAGACTGCCAGGGAGTGGCGAGGGCGGGGCCCCTGCCGATTTAGCCTGCCTGACTGGTCGGGCTTCCCCAGCCCCTCTGCCCCCTAGGCCCCCTAGGCCCCTTGCCCCATTCAGGTTCCCATCAGTCCGGCCCTTGCTGACTCACTGGAGAGGTGGTGTCTAGGAGTGCACCCCGAAAACCCGCCAACGGCCTGGCGTCACTCCAGCTGTTATCTCTGGGAACAGAAACTAAAAGGGGATCTTATTCTTTATACTTTTCTGAACCTTCTGTCTATTCTACTGTGGGCATGAATCGTTAAAAAACAAAACAAAACACCAAAAACCCAAAGCCCAATACCTATTTGTTAATAAAGCACTAAGTAAATCTTCAAAGGCCTCCCAAGGTGTTCAGGCCGCGGGATAACCCCTCAGCCTAGTGCACAAGGCAAGGCCCACCCTGCCCACTGTGGCCACAACCTAATTTTCCAGCCTCACCCTCTCTCCCTCACACACACACAACACTTGCTCTGGACACACTGGCTGTTGCCAAACACCACCTGTTCTTCACGGCTGCTGGGAGTTCTTGCTTTTTGCCTGGAGCACCCTCCCCTTTCATCTCTGCCTGTTGAAACCCTACTCATCCATCCAGGCCCCTCTGAAATGTCACCTTTTTTGGAGAACCCTTCCCCAGACACTGCCCCTGCAGAGTGCCCCAGTTCTTTCTGGTAAGCCCATCGTTCTAGTGCTGGTTTATGTAGCATCCCCCTCTCACACACACTAAGCCCTCTTCCAAGGTGGAGAGAAACAAATGAGCACTTACTGAGCAGCTGTTATAAATTGCTCTGTGGAGTCCTTTCTTCTCCTTGCAGCCCAGCCAGCCACTAGCCCACAACCTCCCTCCACCCCACCAGAGTTTCAGAAGGCTGTCAGGGTTCTGAGGCCTGCCCTCTGGTGTGTCCCCACTGTGTGCCTTGGCTTTTCCAGCTCTGTCCTGGGTAGGCTTCCCTGTATCAGCCTCCAAGTTCTGCAAGCCGGTGGCTTGCCCTTCTCTCAGCCCTATGTGAGGAAAGAAGGACCTTTCATTATCAGAATCGGAGAAGTGGAAGGGACCTCAGAGATTATCCAACGCAAAGCCCGCCCACCCATTTTACAGAGGAGAAAACTGTGACCAGAGAAATAAAGTCAGAGGCATTGGAGGTACCTACCATTGTTATTGTTGTTTTTAATACTGTTAATACTTGCACGTTTAGATCGCCTTTCACTTCCAAAGCAATGTGTTGTCACTCATTTGCCCCTCACAGTCTCAGAGGTATTATAGTGGTTAGTGCACAGACTCTGGAGGCCAAAGCCCTGGGTTCAAATCTCGGTGCTCCAACTTGCCAGCTACATCCTTGGCAAGTTACTGGAACTTTCTCCACATTTCTCAGTACAATGTGGATAGTAACAGCTCCTGCATCATGGGGTGTTCTATGAATTGAAATAAATGTGTATCTTTAAAGGGCTTAGAATAGTAGCAGGTGCATTAAAAATGTCAAATGTATTTGCTCTTATCAAATTTTTGTTATTGTTAATTGTATCACTTTGCAGTTGGAATAACAGAGGCTCAGAAAGGCTGAGACTCATCCAAAAAATTGCTGCTTTGGGGATGGTTTCTCACCAAACTCCATGCAGTCGTCTTTGTCTCTGACACCGTTCTGCCTCCCGTACCCTTATGTCTGAGTCTAACCACCTATTTAATAGGGAAGAAAAGCAACTGTCCTTTAGCCCACCTCAGAACACGTAGACATTTCATGGTACAAACACTAACCACATCTTCTGGTTTCTATGGGGATGTCTCTGATTTGCTAGCATTTTCTTTAACAGAACACCACACCTCACGGTGTCCTTCAGAATCACAGAGCCATCACATTAATTGCTGCAAGTTGAGCTTGTACATTTGTGCCTCTTTTACTCTTGGTGCATGGCAGAAAAGCGACGGGGAAAAGATGGTTCTTCCCATGTATGGATGTAGGAAACTGAGGCACAGTTGATATTCACTGAATGGCCCCAGGCTATGGAGCTAGCCTGGACCGTGGGAAGGATGAGGATCTCCACTTCCTCTTTCCCCATGGCTACACTGCTTTCCTGATTCAGTGTTGCAGGAGAAACCCAAACTCATTTATTCAATGAGGATTTATTGAGCACTCTCTAGGTGATGAATAAGACCTAGGCAAGGCCAGCTTCCTGGGCATGTGACCTATGAACTCACATAGGCCAGAGGTCCCCAACCTTTTTGGAACCAGGAACCTGTTTCATGGAAGACAATTTTTCCATGGACCGGGGATGGGAGTGGGGGGTGAGAATGGTTTCAGGATGAAACTGTTCCACCTCAGATTATCAGGCATTAGTTAGATTCTCATAAGGAGTGTGCAAACGAGATCCCTCACATGCATAGTTCACAATAGGGTTCACAGACCAGTACCCCATTACCGGTTCGTGGCCTAGGGGTTGGCGACCCTTGACATAGGCCACTCACTTAGAAGGGCTTCATACATAGTTTAGTGCTCTCCTGTCACCTGCTTGAAATTCTTAATTTTTGAACAAGGGGCCATATAAATTGTATTTTACACTGGACCCTTCAAGTTGTACAGCTGGTCTGGACCAAGGCTCTTCCCTAGGAGCTCTCAGTGTCACAGAAAATCAGCCAGGGAATTGACAATTGCAGTTCGGTACGATGGTGGCTGTAACGGAGACAGTAGCCATGAAAGAAGGACAGGACGTTGGCCAGTGTTGAGCTCACTTGGGTCATGCTCCCCAGCTGTGCAGCCTGCCCAGCCGCCAGTGACTTACCACTGTGCTCCTTGCTGGGAGAATGGCCTTGGTTTAGCACCAGGGCCTGCAGCCCCAGACAGCAGCTGCAAACCCTGCCACCCTAGGAGGCCACCGCTAAGTCATGTCAACACCAGGAAATGTGTGCCACTGGGGCCCTAAGCTGTTATGTCCTCCAACCCATACTCCCTGATCACCAGACTGCCAGTGGACTCTAGTTTCCTCTGCCTGCCCAGACCCAGTCAATTTCCAGAAAAGGGCACATAAAGTCATCCACAGTGAAAAGCAATTGGCAGACAAAAACCTAATGGGCTATTCATCCAAAGGACACTTGGGTTTTATTAGAGGTATTCTGGTGTCCTCCTGGCCTGCATTCTGACATATAAGAAGCATCTAAGTCATGATAGTTGAGTGAACATACAAAAGGTAAATACATACGGCAAAGCCTGGATTGGAATTGGCAGTTTGAAGGTCATTGGCCCAAGAACAGGGTATTTTTTGGTTGTGTTCTGTTTTCTTTTTCTTTCTCTCTTTTTTTTTTTTTTTTTTTTTTTTTTTTTGGATGAGTTGCTGGAAGCCCCAACACAATGGTTTGGGAATAAATGGAAGTGAGGAATGGAGAAGTAAGGAGGTACCACTCTCAAGGAGGCTGGCAGTAGAGGGGACAAATAGTGTGAGAGAGGAACAGAAGAACCAAGCAGGAAACTGGAAGAGGTTGGTAGATGAGGTTAAGAATCTGATGAAGAGGCCGGGCGCGGTGGCTCAAGCCTGTAATCCCAGCACTTTGGGAGGCCGAGACAGGCGGATCACAAGGTCAAGAAATCGAGACCATCCTGGCTAACACGGTGAAACCCCGTCTCTACTAAAAAATACAAAAACTAGCCGGGCGAGGTGGCGGGCGCCTGTAGTCCCAGCTACTCGGGAGGCAGAGCTTGCAGTGAGCTGAGATCCGGCCACTGCACTCCAGCCTGGGCGACAGAGCGAGACTCCGTCTCAAAAAAAAAAAAAAAAAAAAGAATCTGATGAAGAGAGAAAGAACGAAGAGTGAGTGAGAAAGGGTCAATGGCCCTGGTATAAGAAGAGGCAGAAAGGACTGGCGAGCACAAGGGCTTAGGAGGAGCCCGTAAGTCTCAGAAGCAGGGGGAGGAGGTAAAGATGAGTGAGGATGGCAGCAAGGTGGTGGGAGGAAAATGGATGCAGAGCTCCCAGATCATAGTCCCTGTTTCCTCTATGAACCAAGAAAATAGGTAATGGCTGGAGGGTCTGGGCTGGCTGGTGGAGTAAGTAACATTTAGATGCTTGTGCTGTGAGTTGCTGCCTCCTCTGGGGTGGGGCAGGGAAGAGCCAGTGTCAGGGGTGAGTGGAGTAGAAAATTGACTTGAAGGGCACAGGGACACTTCCAAGGAAGCGAGGTACCCTCTTCCAGAGTCACCTTGATGCTCTGTCGCATCCTTTCTCCTAGCATCTGTAACTTCTTTGTTTTTTCTTGTTCACTTGCTGCTTTCAACTCTAACTTAAGCCCAGTTCCTATTATTGGCCCCCTTAGAGGAACAGTGAAAACATTCATTGTTCTAATACAGGAATCCCTCTGCTGTTCCTTCTTCCTTATTATGAATGGCAACAGTTACAGAGCTTCCAACAGGTGGAGGCCAAAAACCAAACAGACTTTTCAATGTTGACTCTCTCGGGCTGCATACAGAATGGCAGCTCTGCCCCACCACCCGGAGCCTCGCCAACAAAGGCCAAATCAAACAGCGGCCCGGAACAGAGGGCTAGCAAGCACTACAGAGCCAGCAAACACCAGAGGGAAATCACCCTGGATCCATATCTTCCATCCTTTGCCTCTGTGAGCATGTTTGGGGAGGAGACATCTATGAGATTGCAGGAGCCAATTCAGGCTACATCCTTATAGCTGCAATGGAAAAATTAGGCTAGAATTCAGGGCCTCCCTGAGGATATTTCTGAAAATCATGTACTTCCTTTAAGGGATTTACAAATCTGGAGTCCTTCCAAAACAGGACAAGTAAGACATGAGCAGGAAGTTTCTACTCTCCATCCAGCAGCCAAGAATAGACTTCGTCATTCAGATGGGGCCACAGAGGTACAGACCTGAGAGAGCTGGAAGTCACAGAGCCAATCCCATGTATTACCGATGAGGTAACTATGGCTCAGGGTGACTTGACCTATAAGCCACAAGCTTGTGGGTGA